GCACTTTTCCCTTTGCCATCATCAAAGTAACGCAAAGGGACACACATGTATTTGTTTTTAGTCTTGTGTTTTATTTTTAATTCTGTATAAATAAATATAAAATGACAAAAAGGTAAATGTTTACTAAACATGGCATTTGGTTGTATGACATTACACAGTGTGTCTTAATATTTTCAGCCTGCAGTAGTTCTGTCCTTTAGCTGTTGGTGCATAACTCTATAACTTTTCAAACACAATTCATCCAGAAGCTGTACCAACCACCTTTTAGTGGAACACCTGAGTGCTTACACTTCCAAAAGTTTGTCTGGGAAGCATTCGAGGCACACTGTTGGCTGAAGTCTAGGGATATTTTTGAAACATCTAAAACAGTAAAAAGAATTGTGTATTTACAACCATAAGAAAAGATGCACAAAATCACTAATCATCAGAGAAATGCAAATTAAAACCACAAGGAGATATCACCTCACACCTGTAAGAATGGCTAGCATCAATAAGTCAACAAACAACAAGTGCTGGCGAGGTTGTGGAGAAAGGGGAGGGAGCCCTTTTGCACTGTTGGTGGGAATGCAGACTGGTTCAGCCACTGTGGAAAACAAATGGAGACACTGCAAAAAATTAAAAATGGAACTGTCTTATGGCTAGCAATTCTACTTCTGGTAATTTATCTGAAGGAACCTGAAACACTAATTGAAAAGAACATAAGCACCCCTATGTTCATTACAGCATTGTTTACAATCGCCAAGATGTAAAAGCAACCCAAGTGTCCGTCAGTAGATGAGTGGATAAAACAGCTATGGGACATTTACACAATGCAATACTACTCAGCTGTAAAAAGGAGGAAAATTTTACCCTTTGCGACAGCATGGCTGGACCTGGAAAACTTTATGCTAAGTGAAATAAGCCAATCAGAGAAAGACAAATACCATATGATTTCACTCATATGTGGAGTCTAATGAACAAACAGAACTGACAAGCAAAATACAGACTCATAGATGGAGAACAGATGATGGCTAATGGGGTTGGGAGGTTAGAGGGTGGATGAATTGAGCAAAAAGGAAAAAGGACTGATGGACGTGGACAACAGTGTGTTGTTGTGGGGGAGAAGGAGGTGGGCGGAGGTGGAGGAGGGTATAAGGGGGATAAATGGTAATGGGAAAAAACAATAAAAATAAACTATTAAAAAAAGAATAAGGGATAGAGAGGATTTTCTCTTCGTGTTCATAAAAGACATGCAGGGATATAAATCTAGAATACCACAGCTATAGTTATTTCAAGTTATAGCATAGGACTCAGTGTGTCTATTTATAACAATTATTTAGTAGTATTGATTCTTTTTAATGTTCATCTTTTTGACTTTGGACGGTCAATTGCTAAGGCCTGTTAATGACATTCAGTACTACTTCCAGGGTTTTTGTGTTTTTTTTTGTCATTTTTCTACAATACAAGGTCAACTGAAGTGAAAAATTAAATAGGCCCCTTTGCTAACAGCTTTACATTTCTTAATTCATATAAACACAAGCAAATATAACAGCCTGGGATCTTTTATTTCATGGCTTTCAATTAATGGGACTCAGCATTCTTACAGGTTCAACATCTACATTGCTATTCAAGCTGTTTTGTTGGGTATTTATTACACATTCTTTTAGGACTCCCTCTCAATGGGATGTTTTTGAATTTGGTGACTTAAATGCTATGACTCAATGACACTTTTTTTTTGTTTTTTTTTATATTATTGGGAATCAGTGATGCTCTCTGCAGAAATGAAGATTTGCATGTAGATGATGAAATGTCATCTCAATTTAGTACCCTGGGGAACGTAACACCTGCCCCCAAGAGGGAGGAGCCTGCCATCTTGAGCCATTCCTCGGCGATGAGAACTTTCAGTTTTCCCACCCCTGACTCTTCACTCTTGATTGACTTTTCCAATTTACAAAGTAAAATCGTTGCCCATCGCCCTGGCCCCCTGATTTTCAATACAGGCTGTCAGCACCCTCGCCCCTGTAGAAGACTACTCATTCAAGAACGAAGCACAAATGAGAATATGTTACAGTAAGGTTTAAAAAGTCTCTCGTATTTAAGGCAGACGTGAGTTTCGTCCTGTTGCCCTATTGATCTTTGCCAGCTCAAACATACAGCTCCTCACCCTGTCTTGGATTCTAGAAAAAACTAAAATACTTCTTGAGTTGTAAAACTCACCAACTGTGCTGAGGGGTGTAGTAAGAGAATCTAATGTAAGATGTAAAATCATCATCTATAATCCATTTTAAAGTGAAATTCTTTAAAAAGAATTCCAGTGATCTTTTCTTATGGAAAAAAGGAACAGAATTGGAAAGGAAAATATTTCCGCCAATCAAAAATTGTCTGTAGAAGGTATCCAGGGTGCCCGCTGACCTTGTTGCAGGGATATAGAGAGGGGCAGTCTTCGTTCTCTTTCCAGACTTACTGTAGGTTTTAGCAGTGCCCTTTTTATAGGCAGAAACTTGAATGTTGGTCTATCTTCAAGGGAGACAGGGACTAAAAATCATTTACTAAATATCCCATAAATCTGGAATGTGCTCATACTATTTTGCCATTAGGATGGAAACTTAACTAAATATTTGTTCAAATATTAAAGTGAACTCATTCATTTTCTCCTTTTCCTTGGCTCTTATTTTCCGGGCTATTTAGGGAAATGTCGATGCTTGAGAGTAAAGCAAAGTATGCAGAAATCCAAGGGACTAAATTTAGTTCCTGTGGATGTCTTCCTACCATAAAATATTTCCAGGTTAGTTAACTAAATTAATTGAACATGTGGTTATGAAATGGCGTTCTCCAAGGAACTGGTAGTGAAGGCCTGGTGTGATATGCTTACTTTTCTGACCTGGGTTTTTCATTTGCATCATAGATTGACTTCTGAAAAAGGAAGTCAGCCTGGCCTTTCTTCCATTTGATTGGGAGTGATCACTGATGAGAGAGAGTCCATGCAGAAATTATCTTGTGGATGTTTACACAACCCCCCTCCAAACTCTAGACAGATTTTTTCCTCTGTGTGTGTGTGTGTATATGTGTGTGTGTGTGTGTGTATGTGTGTGTGTGTGTGAGAGAGAGAGAGAGAGAGAGAGAGAGAGATGTGATTTCAGTTTCCATGGAAATAGGCTAAATAAGGACTTTAACAGACAGCAGTATGAGTGTAACTTTTTTGCTATTCCCAGCTCAGAACTATTGAGACACAATCTGAAATCATCCCAGTCCTTTACATTACGAGATCAATATTGTAATTTTGTACCTGCAACATATAATTTTGGATTCAAACTTTCTTTGTGACAGTGATAATCATGCATCTTTTCAGTCAGTCTTGTGAAATAAACTAAAAATGAAAACCCACCCACCCCTGCCCGCAACAATTGATTGGATACCACCTGCATATATACTGCTGTGTTACTCTCCTCCCAGACTTTTCTCCCCGCTCTCCATTCAGGTATTGACCTATTACTACTACATCCAACATTCTACAGACCAGCGTTCTACAGAAAAAAGAGGCCAAACTTATATTTCTCTGTGGCCTTTGTTCACTTCCTTTAAACCCAGACAATTAGGTACCTTGGTTGCTTCCTTGTACAATTTTATCTCCCTGTTTGTGATTACATATTCAACTAAGGCCAGGACATGGGTTTTTCTTTCTTCAGAGACAGAGGTGTAACACTGTGACCATTAAGCCAAAGAAGGCACCATAGGCATGGTTTTATAAAAAGACATCTGCTGCTAAATAAACAAAACATCCAGATCCCTTTCTGTAAGAAATGAAGTCATATAAACTTTTTTGATTGCTCATCTGGAAAAAATAGAACAACAAAAAAGAACACATGCTAATTGCTGTTGAAGAGCATTGAGATATCTGGATGTAAAACAGAAAGAAAAGGGGGAAAAAGTAAAACTGAAGCTATTCCCCTGGCCCAACGCCATTTCACTTTTTGGTTTGTGTTTCTATCAGAAGGTTGGAAACCTGTACGAAAAAGCGAAAGCAACAAGTTTGAAATCTTCTTGACACTTGGAATTTGATATCTAATTTGAAAACGAGGCACTTTATTAAAAGATGGGGTTTTAATGTGAAAGGGTAGTCAACTAGGGATTGGGTGTGTTTGGCCTGAGCTGTTTTCCGGGTTTGGTGTGCTGAAGCGGCTTGGGGGTCCTACAGTCCGTCCGTGCCATGCGCGCGCCTGAACTGTTGTGCTCTGGTGAAAGCTGCTCAGATGGAGAGGAAACGTGGGGTTGGCAGGCACAGTGGGATGCTTTTCCCAGCCGATTTTGTTTTTGTGTATGTGTGGGGTGGTGTAACAGGGGTGTCCAACCTTTGGGCGTCTCTGGGCCACATTGGAAGAGGAAGAGTTGCCTTGGGCCATGCGTTCAATATATTGTGACATGTAATCACAAAAAATACTCACCATGTTTTAAGTAAATTTACAATTTTTGTGTTGGGCCGCATTCACAGCCATCCTGGTCTGCATGTGGCCTGTGGGCCACGGGTTGGACACCCCTGGACTAAACTGTCCTCTGAAGGTGGGAGCGTTGCTTACCATTCCTCTTGCTCCATTACTAGCTCGCTCAAAAGCTGGTTTCCATCATCCAGTCAATTAAAGCATAACTAGATACTGAGAATGAACTGTGTACCCAGACTTGAACTTTAAAATCTGCAAGGTGCTCTTTCCTCCAGGGGTGTCCAACCTTTTGGCATCTCTGGGCCACACTGGAAGAAGAAGAGTTGTCTTGGGCCACACATTAAATACATTGTGACACGCAATCACAAAAAAGTCTCATCATGTTTTAAGTAAATTTACTCTAGTGCTGGGGTGCATTCACAGCCATCCTTGGCTGCACGTGGCCCGCAGTGCGTGGGTTGGACGCCCCAAAAGGTATCAGAGAAACTCAAGTGGTCCAAAATATAGGACATCATTGTTTCCTGAGCTAGTCATTTTTTATGATGTTAATTTTCCTTAAGTATCTTAAAAATAGTTTCACTTTAGGTAAAAAAAAAAAAAAAAAAAAAAAAGTTTATTAATGCTCCTTGATGGGCAAGTGCTTTAACTCTCCGTGGGAATTTTTTCTGGGTGAGCTTTTGATTAATTCCGCCTGAGCAGGTGCTGCCCGCCCATCATGGGTCAGGGTGGTGTGACTCACACTCTGAAGCTCAAGGTGCAATTGCGGTAGTTTTCCCTGTAGGGTTTGATGCCTGTCTGTCTTAAAACTGACCAAGCTGAACTAATCATGTGCTCTAGGATTTAGATATTCTTTCTTAGTTTAACAATAATTTATTACTCCCAGAATTACCTGTTGCTAGTGTGAAGAAACCCAACAAAAATCCTGGGAAACATGGCAGAACGCGAGGACCTCTTTTGGAGAAATAGATAAGATTTCTGAATGCCACCTTAGTGATTAATCTCAATGACCAAATGGGATCTTATGATCAATTGACATGGATACAACTTAAGAATTCATTCTGATTTAGCTGAAAACTTTAGAAAATAATATGCCCTTTCAGGAATTCCTTTCAGTAGCCATGACAATAAGAGAGGGACCACATTTGCTATTTAAACTATATTATTTCTACTGGTGAGGATCGTTTCTGACATCACTAAATATTTGGACTCTCTTTCCTTTTGTCACCCACTAAAATTGAACTACTAAAGGAGCATTTCACTGTTACCACTATTTCACTGTTAATAATTATTGGCACGGGTCATCTTTGATGTTAAAAAAAAACTAAATGCATTGACTATCTAGACATGCTTTTTATAGCTTTGAAACATTGGCACATTTGGAGGAATGAGAGAAATTTGACCAAGGAACGTTTAAACCCTAGATGAAAGTTTCCTTGTTTGGGCCTACCATTCAATAATTCTGCTCACACCTCTAAGCTGGAGTGTGAATATACAACCAAGAGTGGGTGGTTGAATTGTGGGATCAGAGGCAATAGGAATAGAACTTAAGAGTGTTCTTGCCAAGTTACCAGGGAGGAATTATGGAATTCAATAGAAAATGTGGGGTCCTTTTACTTTGTTCAAAAAAGTACAGACTCAGGCTCCCTATCTTTATCTTATAGAAATTCCCAAATCCATTATCCTCAGCTCATATTTTCAGTCATTCCACACAAATTTGACTCATTTTACCTTCCCATTAATTACTTGTTTTCCTGTCACACTGTCCAAATTTTTGGAACTGCACCAAGGCTCCTTTCCCCAACTCCTCTTAATGTTCACTTCCTGAGAGAGAGAGAGAGAGAGAGAGAGAGCACGCGCGCGCGAGCGAGCAAGCTATATGTTTATGGTCTTGGATAGTTCTTTCTGACATTTGTGAGGCTTTTCTTGCGAACTGGTGTTTCCTGTCAACAGACTTCATTGGATGGCCAGTCCCTTCCTTCCTTGAGGTGTATGGAAGACATTGGCTTTCCTTTCAAACTACTGCTGGGGTTAAATGGAACCTGCCCACTCCTTCTTAAGACTGGAGGTTGGCAAGATGTAACGAGCATCATCTGATATGTCCTTCCTCCCTATCCCCTTTCCCCTTGTTTGGATTACAGAGCAAAAATTCTAGATAAATTTCCATAATCCCGCACCTCATGGAAAGATCTCTGTGGTTTTGGCCTCTGCCATTTTCATCTTTGTCTTAGAAAACTCCATCAATTGCAGTTTACCACTATAAAGCTGTTAATTTGGCAGTTTGTAAATTCCAAGAAACATTCACTTCTCCAGGTTTCTGTTTTTAGGGTACTGTTTGGCTGGCCTCAGACATGCCCACAGGAAACATGTATCAAAGGGGAAGGTAATATTTGTTACGGTTTCCCACAGATAGCTGATGTTCTGGCCTGTCGGGCCCTACAGAAGTACAGGGCTGGGCCTGCTAAGGCATTTTAAATGTACCTCACATGTGTCAGGTATGTTGTAAGAGGCAGTGTGCAGGGGTGTGTGTGTGTTATGTGTATGCATGCATGTGTTTGTATGTGTGTTATAGGTATACTGAGTGTATACATGTTACGTGGCATGTGTGTGAAGTAGAGCCAGTGGGTCATTACCAGTTTTGACTGTCATTCATGGTCCTGAGGGACATCATGGGTTCTGCACTGGGGATTCTGGCCGGGGGCGAGGACAGTTCTGGCAAGGTATTAATTTAAAGAGTAAAAAGCTGAAAGTCTGAGCCAAACATGTTGAAGGCTTGCCCTGGAAATTAAGTACATTGTTTTGCCAAACAGAATCATATGAGTTTTTCCAGGGATGAGCATGGAATGGGTAATGGAGATGGGCCAAGCCTTTGCCATTTTTTTGGAATTAAATAAAGCACGTCAGAGATCTCAGTGAACCAAGTCCTCAGACTTCACTCGGATGCTATGTCGTGGGACTGGTGTTTCTCCATCTCGGTCGAAGACTTTCCTTGTCATGTCTGGGCAGAGGGTTCTGTGAACAGCCCTGGTGAGCAGCCAGTGCCGCCTCTGGGCTTCAGGGAAGGCCAAGCAGTGATCCCCCAGCGTTGCCCTTAGGGCAGCCCAGGTGCATTCCATTGTGCCTGAAGCCAGAAAAAGCACAACCAACAGGCACAGGTAGGGTCATTTATTGTCCTACTTTCTCTGTCAATATACACTGCATCTAGCTTATGGCTAGGAGTCAAGAGAACTGGACTTCTATTTATATATCTGTGTCTAAGACACACCTGTCCTATAGTGTAACCATATGTCCATGGCCATGATTTCCTGTTTGCCCACTACAGATATTATCAAGATGAACGAGACCCCTTTTCTCCTTGTTTGTTGGAGAGTCAGCTGCGGTGTGTGCACACTTGCCTATTGCAGACGTCTCGGAATAGGGCTCCCCTGGGAGCAGCCCTTCCATGGATGGGATTTGCTACTGCTACACAGCACGTACCTAACCAACTCAGAAATAGGTTGCTCTGCCTTGGTTCCTTAACAGGGCCCACTTCTCTATGTTGGCTTTGCTGGCTGCTCCCCCACCCCATGTATGTATGTGTGAGGGGGTGTGGGTACTGTAATTTTGAGGTTATATATACTTTGTTGCAACAGTGAGAATGTGGTGGCAACCTGGTATTTTCTGCCAACAAGAGCACAGTGCAGAGGGGTCCCTTTCCCAGTCCAGTCCTGGAGAGCACGTTCGGCTGTTGCTGGGACATCAGTGGGACAGTGAAAATGTTTGCAGGATAAATAAATGAATGAATGAGGAATAAATGAGGGGAAGTAGACACTTGGCTGGGCATGGAGAAACAAATATTTGGAAGCAGTTTTGGCTCCTTAGAGAAGAGAAACTTGAGAAATTCTTGATTGCCCATTAGCCAAAATGAGGACACCAGGATCACATTCCCAATGAGGTCTTTATTCGTTTAGGACAGTGGTTCTTCACCCTTTTTGGGTCACAGACCTCTTTTGGAATCTGGTGACAACTGTGAACTCTCTGTTTAGGAAAGCGCACATATTGAGCATACACACACATTTTTGCATGTAGTTTAATTTTAGGGAGTTCAGAGTGTCCCCCCACCAACTCATTCACGGCCCCCACGTTAAGACCCCGTATTTTAGAGACATAGAATTTGGCAGTAAAGTGGCAGGATGGAGAAAGGACTGAGACTAGGAATGGGGCGACTTCAATTATAGTCCTGTGTCTGCTTCCAACTAGCTCTGTGCATGTGACTTCTCTTCTCCAGGTGTCAGTTTCCTCACATTAGAAACAAGGGGGTAAGCTTAATTGTAGCCAGAGGTTCCTCTGGTGTCAACATTGTGGAGGAGAGGAGGCGGGCACATTCTGCAGGAACAGCATTCCTTCCACCAAGATGCCTTGGTGCACGTTGTTTTCTTTGTACTTTGAAAAGAAGCCTTCTTTCCCCACCAGGCAGGTTTCTGTGAACCCTCGCGGTGCTAATTTTAATCTAATTTGAAAATCTGCACACAGGCCGCAGCTCTCTGGTCCCCTCACTTCCTCTTCCTTGCAGGGCACCTTCATAGGTATCAAAGAGGACTTCAAATGTACCTCCCAGGCAGAAGCGGGGCAGGGGAGGGGCCGGCTGGGGAGGGCATCCTGAAACTGCCTATTCCCGCGCACAGAATTTAGCGCGTTCACTCTCCCCTCTGCTTTCTCCCAGACTGGCACGGCACACAAACAAGCAGTTTTAACCACCAGGGCGAGTAACCCTGCGATGTGCTGGCTGAAGCCAATTCTTGGTTCTTTGCCAGAGATTTCAGTAGTACTAATTCAATATTTTCCATTGTGTTGCGGCTTTACCATGCTTTTTAAAAAGAGGAACTTTGTTTTCAAATACCTGGTGCTTTTTTTACGTCGCACAAACTTAAAAGCAAATTACCCAAAAGGAGTTGTTCAGATGTCTCCAGAGGAGTCAGGCATAGGAATGAAATAGTAACTGCCCCCTCTTCCTGCCCTCACTCCTAAGGGCCTGTGTCCCACTCTTCCAGTGATTAAAACCCAGCTCAACACCCAGGGCATGTGCCCAGTTTATAGTGGTCCTACTAAGTGGTGATCCAGCTGAATTTTAATGTTCTAAAAAGACCAGGACAACCAATTGCATCTTTATATTGCCCTAATCCTGGGCCCAAATCTGCAAAAAATCCACTCCTCTGTAGCTGTACACTGTGGTGTAGATAAGTTACAAACAGTTCTACACCAGGCCTTCCCGTGAGTGTCTCCTCTCACTTAATCCTCACGCTAAGTCTGCACCATCAGGCAGGCGGAGGCTCCCCGAGGGCAGATGGTTGTGTCTGATTTGTTCACTGCTGTGCCCAGTCTCTAGAAGAGTATTTGGGTGATCCTGGGCACTCAGGAAGTATTTGCCGAATTTAAAGGTAGTGACTATTGTTATCGCCATTTTATAGATGAGAAAGCAGAGATTCACAGACGTCAAACACCACTGCAAGTTGCAGGACTACTTTAATAGGATCCGAAGGAATAAAAGCCATTAGGAGGAGGATACCATTTGTGTCCAAAGGTTCTGCCTCTCACCAACCCCGCCCCCCTGCCAGGCGGCTGCCC